TTATTTGGGGTTGGTGAGGGGATCCCCTCGTAGACCCTTACCCGTTCGGTTACTAAGATTCATCGGGTGTCGCCCCCTTCCCTTTCCCCACCTGCTCATGATATAATATAAGTAGCATTTGATCGGAAATGAATCGAGAAAAATTTGCGCGCGACTGTCTTCGATGTTTACGGGGATGTTTATAACTGAACTTGTCTTTCCCTATAAAAGGAATGCTCACAAAATCATTCTCAATAATTTCGACTTTGTGCTAACGTGATAATACTCACGTTACTATTTGGAATCTGAATTAAGAAGATTTCACTTTTTTGTCTTAGATATTACACTCTAAATTTGTGAAAGCCTTATAATTAACAAAGGAAAGTCATAGTATAGAAACTTTTGAAATTATTAAAAAGTCTGTAACTTTATGTTAATGTTGAGTAGGAAATCATAATTGAAAAAATGAATCTATGAACCACCGTCGTCCCTTCAGAGTTACTAAATGATAATGCATAATGAATTAATAAAATACACAAAACGCCTTTGCCCCACTGTTTCTCTCTTCCTCCTGCTCTCTCTCTCTCTTTCTCTCTTCCTTCATCGATATTATCTCTTTAAAAAGAATACAATGTTCACGAGACCATTCGTTTCGCATTATATATTTAATACACGGAGTATAGCAACTCTTTCTGTGTAACATACATCATTTAAGCACGAATCCATGCTTTTCAAAGACCTCATGGTAATCAAGATGAAAACAAATTCTTGAAAAAGACTGAAAAATACAAAAAAATTGTGACAAAGCATGAGAATTTTGGGGGCAATTTAAAAAAGTGGCACAGTTCAGTAACATGAACTTCACAAATATTTAAAGTTATAACATACACAAAGTGAAAAGGGCCCATGATATGAACCATTAATGTCAATCCTAACTGGAACCAAATAAGGCACTTTATCAGAAATTGTATGCCGGGATTCATGTTTTTGAACGTTTAGAGTAATACCATCCCATTAAATGATGAAAATATTAATTGTATCTCAAAATAATATGAAGAAGCATGAATTATATCAGTAGCTATCAACTAAGCAAATCAACTGTGCTAAGTAAAACGGTCAAACACACTTTTTTCTTTCTTCTGTATCTTCATAATCTCACATTAACACATTGCCACCTTCTCCACTTTTGTCAATTAGCCAGAAGGACATTACAACTCTCTGTACTAAAAGGTACATGGTTCAATGCCCTACTGGTTCCAAACACATGCTTCGTTTTGTTTACAACCTTTGATCAAAGATTAGTAGTGGTATTAAAGTCTGCATTTCTACCAATCAATTGATGTTTCCATACTATCAATACTGATGTCCATTAAAAGCTGTCACTTTAAATAATTGTCCGCACCCCTTTAAATGTCAGATTTAGCAATAAGAAAATATACAGTTTTTAAAATATGATTTATTTTGTCATAATCTATTCTAGTCTATTTAAAAAGTAACTCACTATTTGAAGAAAAACAAGCTTCATGTACAATTAAAAAACACATTTTAATTTTAATTCAATAACAGTTTATGACTGTTGCATTAAGTTGCATATCATTCAAAAATACTTTAATTTTCACTAATTTTGCATAAAATGAAACACCAAATCTAATTTGACACTCTTTCAAATATATTAAGTTTGAATTACACTATCATGAATTCCTTGCTCAACCTATCACTTTCCAATTAAACACCTACCACTATGAACATGACTGACAAAGAAAGCGGACAAAATATACAGTTCCTCCGGTAGACAAAGGAACATCCTTCACTGCTATTATGTAACAATGTGTAGAACAGGTGTCACATGCATATTCACCTTTTTCCATAATAGCAGTGAAGGGATGTTCCTTTGTCTACCTGAGGAACTGTATATTTTGTCCGCTTTCTTTGTCCGCCATGTTCATAGTGTACATTTGGCACATTTGATTGCATATCATTAGCTGATTGTGCACTCTGACATTAAGTTGGATCTAATAGAAGCAGAAACATGAGAGCAACAGATACGTGAAAGTTTGAGAAAAATATAAATACAAAAAGTAAAGAATGTTATGAATATTGAAGGCGCAATCAATCAAACACAAATTGGCAACTCTGTTACGTATCTCACAAGCCCCCCTCCCATTTCCCCTGTACTAAAATACTTACAGTTTCCCTTAAGAAATTTTCAATCATACATTCATCATTTTTGCAAATATGTCCCTGTATGAAACAAATCTGTTCCGTCTTTAATAACTAAGAAAATGAAAGTTTGTGGAATTTTCGGAAAAGAGCAATTTTGAGAAGAGCTTGCAAGATACGTCACAGTGTTGCCTAGTTTTCTAGTTTTAATCGGATATTCCTGAAACTTATTTGTTTCTGTCATTTTTCTGCTTTCATTAAAACCAAATTCCGGGTGGACTTCTTTTTTAACTGAATAGAAATACATTTTTCCATTCCTAACACCTACTATTTCCTTTTTAAGACATATAAATTGAAATAATATGTAACTCAATTTTATACTAGTTTTACTGTAACCTGATGAGTTACACAATTTAAGGCTACTGCACAATATGTGATTTGACTTTGATGAAATTTTACTGAAAATAGCAATAGTATACAAATATACACTGCCTTGAGAGGTTCTGGTTAAAACTATGCGCAAGAGGTGACTCCAATAGTACCATTTGCTGAGGGGCGCAGCCCCGAAGCAAATGGTACTTTTGGAGTCACCAAGGCCCATAGTTTAACCAGTACCTCGAATAGACGGCATGGTATATTTGTTTTATATCCTGCATCAAAAATTTATTTAAAAACAAAAAAACAAAAAACAAACATTTTGGGGAAAAAAAAATTTAGAACAAAAAAAAATGTTATCTAAAAAGATTTAAAATATTTTATTTTCATTGAATATTTTGAAGAAAAAAAATTGATTCAATTTTTAAAAAAATTCACATTTTTTTTCCAACTCCCAAATAGTAAACCAAAATAGTACTCTCATATAGTACTTTCTAAAAAATAGGTCAAATATTTCTGGTCATGTGATGAGCTCTCAACCAATCAAAAGCCAACAAATTTTTGATGCAGGATATAGTATGTTATGATGGAGTTCTATTTCTCTTTCTCTCTCTCTCTCTCTCTCTATTCTTTATATTTGTAAAAGACTAATAGTTCCTAGTTAAAATTGCATGTAAACCCCTTCACACAAGGCATACAGACTCAGATATTCCGAGTGGAGATGATTACCGACAACTCAAAACTTTTCTTTGTTTGAATAAGTTCCTTTCAGTTGCGTTTATAAAACACGCTCTAAACCTCTCTGTATACCACATACTGAAGATTTACGATAGTCACATATCAATAATATTTGTACAAAAATAGTTCACTTTCTGTGTATATAGTATTCCTTTTCTATGTATATATTTATATATTTATAATTTGGAATGATATGACTCAATATGCACAACTATTTACTCCTTTTCCACTGTATACATATCTATAATTTGCCATAAAAACACAGCTTACATATTTCTAAATAATTGCTACAGTAATATATACATTTCTCATAAAGATGGATTACATTACAAAATATACACATACTGATACACACAATGCCTTCATCAAATTCATTTTCATAAAGGAAGACGTTAAAATAGTAGAATCAATTGGCAGTTCATACACCAGATTCATATTGCTATATATCACAATCAAGTAATGAATTTATTTATTTTCTTACGTTAATTCAGCCTTTAAATATCATTCAGATTTAAAATCACATATTCGTTTAGTCTGCCATCACTTATGAAGAGTCAAGATTGCTTTAGCTTCAACCCATTAATAACACAATTTCATATTTTGCAGCTTTTGGATAATCAACTTTATAAGCTTATTATACTGAAAGCGGGACTGCACTACTTGTAGCTACTTGCACCCTCTATATAGCAAACAATGCCTAAGCGGTACCCATTGGTCCCCCACGATCCCCTTTTTCTTATGTTAATTGAGAGCTGATTTGATGAGATAACAACCTGTCAGTGACCATGCAGGGAGGTCTAATTCCTCCTGGCTAAACTAGTGCAGATAGAGTTTAACAGACTTTCTGCCATCTTCTGCATGCAAATATCACATCTATAATCAAATACATCAACTGCAAACAGATTATATAACCTTTATCCCGACAGCACCAATAAGACAAACCTGTCAATTTTAGAGCAATAGTGTGTTACACATATGTCACAACAAACAAACCTAATAAGAGCTGCAGAAGAAAAGTCTCCACTCGTAATAAGTCTCTGTTTGGCATCAAATTTTGGCAAGTTCCTTTCAGAAGAGTGTGGGTCATATATAATTTGTGTCACAATGTTATATCCTATTAATTCTATCTTTGAATGTATTCTCGGAAAAATTGATTTAAGATTACTACGCATTTCATGTGCTTTTATTGTAAACTGAATGTAATTCAGTCCCCAAGCTGCAGTGTTCAGTATTCTCAATAAAGCATTCAATTCAATTCAATTCAAAGTTCACACGATTGAATTAAAACCGTTGGAAAACACAACTGGAACAGATATATGTTGTGTAATTCTTTCCTGAGAACAAGCATGGCTCTGGAACTGAAGAAGTAGAACAAATGTGTGTCCAGCTAGTTTGTACACTCGAGCTGGACTGGTAGGGGCTTCTCTTACAGGACGCTCCATGAAGACAGACACCATCCTAAACTAAAGCAGATGAACTGTTAGGAAGTACTTAAATGGAAGGAGAAGAACGTGTCCATCACAGAATCTGCATCTTAATCCTGTACCCTGATGATGATGATGAACCTCAAGGGTCTCCAATTCATATCCATGATGACACATTTGCTTTGTTCTCCAGCAATTTCTAAAAATGCATCTAGGTCTGATCTCAGTCATTCGTATTGCATCTTCCATTTATGCGAGGTCATTTTGAACGACGTTTTAACACCACAAGTCAATGTAAATGCCTCTAGGCATGATCTCTCTGCCTGCCTGAGATGATGATAAACTTTGTCTCTCAACTGCAGCATCTTGACAAATCAGCAACGTCCCACGATGCCATTTATTCATCTGAACATTATAGAAATGAAACGCTTCACATGGTCTTCCACAAGAGCCTCACTATTCAAAGCACCATCACAAACTTGTCCAATTGGGCTTGGGATATTCGTAATTTGGTCTAGAACCACACACTGCTTCAAACAGTTCAAATTTAAGATGCTTTTACGTGGATCCAACATCAGTATTTGGCTCTGTGAACAGGCATCTCCTGGAAGCTCTAGAGTCTTTCGCCATCAACTCTTACATTCAGACGCAAGCATCTGTTGCCATGGTAACATATGTAAATGACACGATGGTAAGCGTACCAGTAGAGAATCCCAGCTTCAGATTGTTTGTTTGTTTTCCTGCTCTCAACCAGCGAAAGCTTTCTGGAGATAGAGCTTGCTGTTCGGTAACGCGTTGGTCTTGTAATGTTCTAGTAACTTGAGGATGTTGTCAAACTTAGGGACATGGTCCAAGTGAAGATTGGAATCCTGAGGGGAAAACATGGAGACAAACATGAGTTGATGAAGCTATTCCTACAGTGTTGAACAACACTAACAGTGAACACATTAAATTTTTTCTTGAATGCTGTGAGCACCAAAATCGGTAGCCGAGCAGAGTTGGGGTAATATTGGAACGCTTTGAGCACCTTGCAGGGTGGATATGTGCACTATATAAATATCCAATATTATTATATATCAGTACATTTACTAAGAGATAACTCAGAATGTGACAATGTGTGTGCAGTTTCTAAATTCTTACTAGACAGAGATGGTCAAAATTAAACATGGGTTACTGAGATAGGATTGAAAAGGTTCTACATAATATTAAGGTGTCAATAATGATAAGAATATCAAGGATGGTTATAACAATCACACATGTTTATAATGATAACAAAATTATGGTAGTGATGATGATGATGATGATGATGATGATGATGATGATGATGATGGTTATGAATATGACAACAGTCAATGGTTACGTTGATGATAATGCTGATAACGACAATGATAGATAATGATGATAAATGATGATGATGATGACGATGATGATGATGACAATGATGATGACAATGATGATGATGATGATGATGATGATGATGATGATGATAATGATTACGATGATGATGATGATAAATCTTAGGATATCGATAACGGTAATGATGTTAATACCAATATTTACCTGATCTTGAAATATTTTATAGTGTTTACATCTGCAGTTCTGACTGTCCCATACCATAAGAACCTGCATGAAGAAAAAAATTGAGTTGATCTATTTGTTAAACTCTAGAAAAATGAAGAAAATTCACAAATCTTGCAAAGAAAATGTGCTCACATTCATGTACCTACCATGATTGACTTCTGAAATAAAAGGGAGTTTTTTTTTTATATGACATTCTTTCATTTCAGGTCTAACTTTCTGTATTTTTCTTTTCCCCTCCTTTGCTACAAGAAGCTCTTTATTGTCTCATATATCTATGCCTCTTTTCTCTCTTTATCTCTCTCTGTGTGTCTCTGTCTGTCTGTCTGTCTCTGTCTCTCTCTCTGTCTCTGCCTGTCTGTCTGTCTGTCTTTCCAAATCTTGCTCCCAATTGACACCCAGTTTCTATCTTAAAAACAGCTGCTTAGGCTGAGAGAGTCACCGTGTTTAAATAAATAAATGAAATGAAATTAAATGAAATCTTATCAAACATGTATGTCTGAATCTGACTGCAGTTCCTCTCTCTTTAGTGTCTTTGCCCATCTGTCTCTCACCTCTACTTCTCTCTCTCACATTAATCAAATCTGTTTATCACTGTAGCTTTATTGGTTCCATAGCAGCTTATATTTGTTTGTTAAATGAGCTGTGAAGAAATCACCACGGTAGTGTGCCACATCAAATGATCCTTCACGACCTCAACCCTAAACAACCAGTGAAATCATGGTAATAAAATCATGCTGCAAGTACAATGGCTCAGTGGTTTTAGAACTTGGTTACAAATCCACAGAATTCACATTTTTTGATAGTTTATTATTGAAGGAAAAAAAGATAATAATTTCTAAGGTTTTTTCCCTCTAATTTTACAGCTGGTTTAAGACTTTTAAAGGGCATAAATTGCCTACCGTAGTATAAGTCCAAATCTTGAATATAGCTTAAGTTTACAATGTAATGAACTTTTTTTTTCCACAATGAACTACCGTTATAACAAAAAGAGGTAGATTCTGTAGATTTATGACGTCCATTGAGAGACCAATGGTGAGAGCAACCAGTGGCATGAATGGCCTGCCGTAGTTAAAGATCACCTAAAGTTGATCTCACTCTTTGTGAAACACCCCCCTGGTGTGATACAGTTTCTGGGTTCAATATCCTAGCCTGTGAGTTTGTGCTTTGGCCGTGACATTATCTATATCCCCCTAAATCTTTACCTAAAAGTATCAAAAACTTCCTGTTTTCTGAGCCAAGTTATAACAATCAATCAATGAATATATTCCCTAGTTTTTAAATTGTTCTAATGCTACACATCTTTATTGGAAATATTTCATCTATATCAAGTTTTGGTTAATTTGGTAGGTTTATTTGCAAAATTAGGTTAAACAAATTGTTCAAAATTGCACTGTGAAATAAGTCAACCCAGCTATAGCAGAATGAATAAATGAAATACATCAAATTAATTAAAGCAGATTGAAAGAACTACAATCTAGAACATACCTGGCCATGTTCTGATCCTAGTCTTACTAGGTACATCCCATCACAGCGATACTTCCGTAAAAGACTGGAAAAATGAAAAGACAACAAAAAATCTATGATTAGCAACAACTCCCTTATTAATGACAATGTAATTGATTGAAACACATCTGCAACCCCTAAGGTACTGCCAATAATAGATTTCATGTTTTAATAATACACAATATCACTTTAAAGTAGATATTCATTGATTTTAAAAACTAACTTTATTTTCATTATTGCAAAGTTGAAACTTTGATTCGACAAGGTTATCAAAATTCAATGCTTGGAAACATTTGAAGTAATGATTATTATAAATTACAAAACGCTTATATACAACCCCAGCATAGCACCTGAAGAGCTCTCCAAACGCTGCTGAGATGTGTGAGATCACAGTATGGACATGACTTGCACAAGACATGACATCTCACACATTTTCAGTGCCTGGGTTTTCATCTTCTCTTGAGTTCTTTCTCTTACTTCACTACCGTCAGGCTAAATGTATAATCTATTGCCTCACTCTAAACCCCGCACATGGTTTTATTTTGATGAAAAATGCAGCGATACAAAAATAAAGGAATCTGTCGCTTGTAAACAAAATAAGACGCCATTGTATATTCAGCTGCACACACCGGGGTATGTTCGGTGTTTCAAGAGGAAACAAATGTCGTCCTTAATATCATTCCGGGGGTTTTTCAATTTGAAAGTCTGGTTTCTTTGATTGTTAATTAACCCCTATCCTGTGTATTTACAAGCAAAAGATTTTAGTTATCAGAATCGGGTCATATCCCCTTTTGAATGGTTTGACATGCCATTAGTTGATATACACTAAACTCGTTATAATTTGAGAAATAATAGCTTTGCAATTATGTTCATTCTCTATGGGATGTCATCTGCTTGGGCAGTGTTGGTCCATATAGTGACGTCATTGAATGTTTGATGTCAAGGAATCAAATTCTTGATATCAAGAATTACCACTGTTTTACAACAGAAAATCCTTTCTTGATATCGAGAAATAGGAATAAATGTTAAAACTGCTTTCCATGAATACGCAAGCCAAATACTCAGAGGTGAGACTGAAACATTATGAGCAGGGCTATAGGTCTTACCCTTCTGTGTGGATCTTGTCTGAGGACTGGATAGATGCTGCCTCAGGAAGCAGCACCGCAGGGGCTGGTCCACCTGATGGCCTGGGCTACAGAACAAGAAACGATGAGACAGAAAACTTGAAACAAAACTTGTAACGAAACTTGTCATATTTTTCTAAAAATCGTGATATTGGTAAATCTGATCAAGTTTATTTGAAAATGGGGTATTAATTACAATTTAGAGGGATTTTTGGACAAATCAACCTGTTAGAAGCAGGATTAGATGGGTTGGAATTATCTCATGGAATTTTGTAACTAATTTTCTTTCTTTTTTAAAGCAGGGTATGAGGAATCATTCTTGAATATCAATTGTTATTTTTCCCTATTTTTCAATACACATCGATCACCATTGCTCAGCGCTACCAAGAAAGTATTTTATAGCGCATCGCTTTAAAAATAAAATAAAATGCTATTGATATGAGTAAAGTCCAACCTGTCTTAGTGGCCACCTCTCTATAAAGTCCACTTCTCTATAGTGGCCAAGTATTTTGTCTCCCTTGAGACAAAAAATGTTTATCGTAGAACCTGTCTAGAAAGGCCACCTGACTACAATGGCCACTTTTACTGTTTTCCTTGAGTGGCCTTTATAGACAGGTTTGACAATGCCCTCGAGTCCCTGCCTTTAAAAGAAATAATAGGCCTGTCTTCATCAGCTTGAGTAAGTCAAATAACCCACTATTTTCAGACTCGGGATATTATCCCGAAGCGTGAAATTGCGTCTTCACCAGGCGGATACGCTCATCACAAACTAGCTCAGACGGGCGCAAATTAGCCCGCTATTTCCCAAATAGTGGGATATTATGGAAACAAGACCAAGATTTTTCAGGATATTTTCTTGACCAAATGTCCCGCTAATTGCAACTGTGGGCTGATGAAGACGCAATTTAACTGGTTAATTTGCGATCGGGATAGTTAAAATAGCGGGTTATTTAACAAACTTAGCAAACTCGAGATGATGAGGACAGGCCTTATGTTACCATTGGTTCTTCTTCGTATCCGGACACCTAGCTCCTGGACATTCACCCCCGGATAACCACCCCCAGGATAACTACCCCCTAGGGCAACTACCCTCTAGGACGACTACCCCCCGGGACAACTACCCCCCAGACATCTACCGTACCCCCTAAGGCAACTACCCCCCGGACAACTACCTCACAGACAACTATCCCCTACTAGGACAACTAGCCCCTAGGATAGTTGTCCGGGGGTAGTTGTCTTTGTCTTCTTACCTTGACTGGTGGTTTTGGTGTGATAATCTTAGGCTTTGGTCTTGTAGCTGGTTTGATGGCATCTGAGGGCTTGGCTGATACTAGTGGTTTCAGTACTGGCTGCAACCAAAATGAGGAAGAAAAAAACAGTATGATTAATATTTCATGTGCTTTTCATTATTACAAAAACAAACACTACATATAGATACATTTTACAGCAACTGTTGTATTCTAACATATTATTTGTACTTTATCATCCAAGAAATGAACACCAAAAAACAAAACAAAAACAAACAAATTATAATTACATCCAAAAGCTAATCCTGTATGCACTAAATTTGAGGTTTGCATTCAAGTCAATTCATATTTATTTCATTTCCAACAGAAAGATAAACAAAGGTATTACATTTTTTTCATACATAATTCATTTTTTCTTGGTAACTAAACAAATACAATTTTCACGTAATAAAATTATTACAAGAAATTCTTAATTTCTAAGGAAATGGGGCGATCCACTTAAAAGCAGTGCTTGTAATTGTGGATCCCCCATTGTTTTAATAGACACCATATAAAACTTATTTTCACACAGACTAAATATGTATTCTTTCCCATCATCTGCAAAATCTTGATCATGATTAATAATAATAATAATAAATTTATATAGCGCAGCTTTTATACAAAATATATTCAGCTGCGCTGGTTAAAGGGATCCGGTAACTTTGTCTCAGATTATGAAACAAAATTCTGGATTTAGCTCATGATGCAATGATAATAATAAACCTTTAGGTCAGTCAGGATCCCCATGACTTTTACAAGCCGATCGCCTGTCTGATTATCAAGATATTTATGATTGGAATTACAAATTTTGAAAACCGTTCGCCTGACGGTTTTCATAACACTACAGTCTATTGGGGAAAACGAGTATGGTAACACCGGTCACTCAAAGAGTTTTACTTTGTTGAGGCACTTCTTGATCATTTTGAAGCGCAATTTTTTTAGGGCTTCAATAGTACACCATATCACAGACACTGATAACACGTAGGGCGGTGTATCTCAGATTTAACATTGTTAAACGATCCCTTTAAGAGCTCCTTTTTACTAAATTCTACAAAAAAAAGATCTCTTAGTTCAACAAATAAGTTTTTAAATTGGATTTGAAAACATTGAGAGATGGAGTGCTTCGTATTTCTATTGGCAAGCTATTCCATAGTTTGGGGGCAGCAATAGCTGTTTTGCCATGGGGAATCTGAAATAATAATTTATCCGTGGAACTGCGCAGGCTATGACTGTGACTGGACTTTGAGTTGAAGTAATTCTTGGATGTAATTAGGAGCTTGACCAATCAATGATTTATAAACAATGAACAATATTTTGAATGAGATTCTTTGACGATTAGATGATTAGCTACCAGTAGGTATCACAGATGAAGGTTTCATACTGTAGAGACCTGTAAATGATCGACAGAAAAAGCAAAAAAAAAAGCAGGGGAGTGTTTCACAAAGATCCTAAGTTGAACTTATCTCTAAGTTGGACTTCACAATTATTGAAAGCCATTGGCATCTATGAAAATATTTTGTAAAAGTTATTTTAAAAGGCATAAAATAATGATTCAAATGATTCATATTTCTATTATCAAGTTCTTAATGTGGAATTCATAAAAAAGTATAAAATACTTGAATTTTCGGTTTGTAATATATTTCATCGTAAGGCTACAAATGGATATCCATAATGTTTAAGTCTAACTTAGAGTTAAGTTGGACTTAGGATCTTTGTGAAACACCCCCCTGGAGTCATTACAAAATGGCCAATCTTACCTCAGGACCACGAAAAGGTCTTTCTGTGATAGGTTTCCTGAAACTGTTTCCCTCAGGTCCTCTCCTGCAGATGGATAAGAAATAGTAGATTTTTTTTCCTTGTTTCTGTTCTAAAATACTTGAACAAATCACAGATTTTTGGTTTAGGATGGCCCATCTTCTTGGTAGTACAAGAAAGGTTATAAATTCAAGGAATATTGAGTTATGCTAAAAGAAATGCACTAAACATTTTATTGCAAATATATAATTGCTCTGGAATACTCTACTAGGACTTAATGAGATATATAACTCAATACACCTTGCATTGCAAAATATCTACAAATTAATTGTGAGACAAGTACTCATCAAACCCATCAGTTTAATAGTAGTTGTAAATTGACAAGCTACATTTAGAAATAAAGTAAATAACAATATTTTGGGAGGCAAACATAATCTTATCAAAATATGTAAAATGAATGAGAAGGACACAAACTCCTTTTTCTCTCATGCCCTAGTACCAAGTACTAGACTGACATCTGATTGATAAAATATCAAACAAAAATTTAATTTCCCTGAATGGCCAAGCAGAAATGGTCAGTTTGAGGTGTATTCAATGGTTTGCCCGAGGTATCACTCACCTCAACGTTGGTTTGTCTTCTTCCGATCCCTCTTCGATGGACGGCTGCCTGTTGGTCAGTCTCTTGCTTGGTTCTCTCCTCTTTCTATTCTCCAGTTCTTGTTGAAGGCTCTTTCCCATCGGCATGATCATCTGACCCATCTTTGGAGTACCGGGCGTCGGCGGTAGAGGTCTGCTTGGTGACTGGGCATCCATCTCAGGTGTGATGTAGTCCTCATCAAAATCTGGAATATCAAAGAGACATGATATGAGCAATAATAATAATATTCCGCTTATATAGCGCTTAATACAAATGTCTCTAAGCGCTTTACAGATATACTATTACCCCGGTCATTGGATTCAGTGCTGGGGGTCCCTGGGGAGCATTCCAGCCAGGTGTTACTTGACGCTCTCTTCTCCACATACCCAGAACATCCACAGTGACAGATGAAAATGCTTTTCGATCATATGCGCCTCGCCTCTGGAATCAACTGTCCCAGAACAGCGGTACAGCAGCACCCACACTAGACACCTTCATGAAGCACTTGAAGACTACTTATTTATTAGTTTATTTAGTTCTTTTCAGATGCATTATCATCAAGCATCATGAAAGCATGCAATGTACCACATCCATCTATACAAGTAACCACAAAGCCTGTGAAGTTGAAAAACAAAAACACTTATTAGTAATGTATGTCCTAACGTGCACCACGAATGAACTAAATGATGATTAATATTTCCGAAGCTACAATGAACATACCAACTGAATCTTTAATAAACAATAAACACATGTATAGTGCATATGGTGAAAATGAATGACAGAAAACAAGTGAAGATGTCACTAAAAATCACCTAAAAGTGGTATGCACTACTAGTATATGGATTGAAACCCACATCATGCCTGAATTGTTAATTTATTTATGTTCCTGCCATCCTGGTTTTGAAGCTCATTAAGAACAATCCTTTGTAAGCAGCAACACAGTATAACTCATCCAGTGACGAAGTTCTGCAGATAAAAACACAGGTAAAATCAACTCAAGGAAAAGGTCTTCATAGGCAGGTGGTCTTCATGCACAGGTGGTCTTAATGCGCAGGTGGTCTTAATGCGCAGGTGGTTTTAATGGACAGGTTATCTCTGATGCAGGTTGGATTGCACTTCAGTTATGATGGGTTGAGATTCTTTCTTGATCTGCAAAACAAAAGCAAAAATGGATAAGAAGGAACATGGAAAAGAACTCAGGCAGGATTCTGCAAGGCCACGACTAACAATCCATCTACAACACTTCTAGTCACTATTAAAGAACAATCATGCGCGTGCCCGAGGATCGATCCTTTCCAAAGACGGAGGATGATCCCTAAACTCACGGTGGATCTTAAGCGGTTCCGGAAAGCGCGGTCGACTACTGGGTGAGCCTGGTGCCGAGTTAGAGGGGACCTTAAGTCTCGTTCCTGGCATGGACGACCCCCTGATTGACCCAGATGATGAACAGGAGGAGGAGGATGACGATGAGGAGGAGGAGGAAGAGGAGGAGGAGGAGGAGGAGCTGTCATTTTGATGCTTGGTGGGATCGGAGTGAGTTCTAGATCCTAGACCTACTATTGATATTAAAGGGGTACAGGCATAGAAATAGAAATAGCAACTCGAAGATAAGATACAGAAAATCCTTAGTTATAATGAACTTAACAATCAAAGAAAAGCGACAAGACAAACAGGATGATCATCAAAAGAAAGAAACAAGAACAGCTGCAACAATGAGACAAACATACTGGTGACTTCTTCAATGACATACAGTAGACACTGACAAGATGGTTGAAAACAAAAGAATGAATAAGAAGATAAGAAACAAAAACATATACCGAGAGTCATCACAACAACATACATTATTACACGTGACACAGATACAAATACCGGTAAGGAATTGTGAAACAAATCCTCTTCCTGTTTATTGCGTATGATTTGTATTTTGTTTGTTTCTCACGGTCCCTCAGAAATGATAGAACAATCAAATAATGACAAAGATGCTACAGAACGAGGGATCAATAAAGAAGATTCATCCTCACTTCATACGGTAGGTGAAAACATGACAGACATACAGATAAAGATTGCAAATGTTTTAATATTGGTTATGACGTATACACATTATCTTCACTATCAGAACTTGCCTCAAACCTTTGCAATATCTGACAATCAAATCTCTACAAATCGAGAAAAAAATCTAGTATATAGGAAGACAGAGATTATCTTTCAAATCTTTTGAGTTTGCCTCAAACCATTATGATATCTGACATTTCCATCTCTAAAGTTTCAGAAAAATCTAATCTATAGGAAGGAGCCAAATATCTCTCATAAATCCTCTTTGATAGACATGCTTATTGAGTTGGATTTGTTTCAACAATGAAAACAGCCAACTCATACATGGTAGTCAACAAACAGAAGTTCCACTTTTTGTGACTTTTATCCCATCGCAAATCCATCGTTATAATCCCTCATGACAAGACAGATAGTCGTGAGAGTATGCTCTATTTAGGATTAGGATATCGTTGCATCTGTTGTAATATCCCTGATTATGAAACAGTATTTTATGATGGAATCATCCCTTTAGGCTAAGATTTGATGTCGAAACTGTTCTCCTATCCTTTTTGGATTAAGATATTCCTGAATCTGTTATTTCATAGTTTATGACAGGAAAGTTTTGGGTTGAATTATTACCCATTTTGGCTCATTTGTTCTCAAACCCCCAAATCTTAAATATCATCATTACATTTGATGAGACATAATTTCATGTAAGCGCTATCAATTTTAGGTGGAGATATCTTCAAAATCAATGTTGAATCTTCTATTAAAGATAGATGTAACTTGATCAATGTATCTTTTTTTCAAATTTTGCTAAAATCCATTGTTATTACCCTTATTACAAAAGAATAATTGGAATAAGCGGTATCTGATCTGCCTAAGGATATCCTTGAATTTGCTGCAACTTCCAAAAAGACCGGATTGTATTTCATGAAAGCAGTGTCCCTGTTGGCTTATGATATCCATATAATCCTTGATATATCCTTTGCTATGACAGGCTAGATTTTTTTTTGTATCAGGTTTTATTGACAATGTCCTGCCTGACAAAAATACACACAAACAGATAAATACGAATAGATAATAGAAGAGAACTTGGATGACAATGCTTTGGCCATGGGAATTTTCCTTAACAAATATAGAAAATATATAATAAAAGTAGAATAAAAATTGGCATTTCAATGGCAATAAAAATCACTCTTCCAGATCTAAGCAATTTCCTCCAAGCAATATTTACGATACCCTTCATAAATAAGCCTTGGTTTTATAGACCCAATAGAATTAAAAGAATGAATTTTTAAAGAAATAAGGTCTGTAAATACCAGAAACCCCCTGAAAGGAAATGTAATACTTTCAGTATATGGTTGCAAATTACAATTCAAGATCCAGACTTGATTGTTTTCCTTGTTATTATGTTGACTGTTAATTTGTTTTTATCATTCAACAATTGTTCAGATTTGTATGTTTTAATATCAGGACCAAAATGGAAAAAATTAACATATTGATCTTGTGTTCCTGTATAAATATATTTGAATAAGATACCAGTAGATAAAATATTAACAAAAAATAAGATCTTTCATAAACTATGGTGACGAGAAGCGAAACCATATCGGCATGGTTTGCTCATTTAATCAAGAACTGGCTATCATTTCTCATATCTGATTCTGAAGTATAGATCCCTCAATTAAAAATGCTACAAAGGCCAATCATACTAGTTATTTTTTAAATAAAATATCGTCTGCTGAGAGCCTGCAGAGCGTCAAGTCTGTGCGAAAGATAGCAGCTAATGCTTTTCTGGCGATCAACAGACAATTTTATCATCATCTACAGTTTCTTAGAGAGCAGATTTGCTGTTTGTATTCTTTCGCGTTGATTGAGAAGTCCTGAAGAGGACACAGAATCATTAAAGACTTGAGGTTATGGACAGATTATTTGTCTTGTCAACAGACAACAAGAATACAAACAGTCCTGTAAAGGACTTCCACATGTTTGTAAGGTAAATGTACTCTCCAAGTTATCTTCTCGCCTTGCAAACCTGTACTTTCAAACAACATTTACAGTTGCGTTTAATAATAGCAATACCCGATTGGAGGCGGAATCGTTTCTTACCTGCCTGATCTGCATCCATTGGTGACCTTGTAGACAATTGATTTGGTCTTTTAATGCCCGACATAGCACCAGCTGATGACCGCCTTGGACCTGATAATTAAATTGGGATCATATTTAGCATCAATTTTTTTTTTAATGCTATGGTTTATGTGCACTTTTCATATAAATAATCACACGTAGAGCTTTGAGAAAATCTACTACAGGCTCCATCGGATATGACATACATACCGTAAATCTCCGTGTATAAGGCGCACCTGTGTATAAGGCGCACCCCTATTTTGGGGGGGGGGGAAAAAAAAAAAAAAAAAAAAAAAAAAAAAAAAAAAAAAAAAAAAAAAAAAAAAAAATCGTTTTTTGTTTTGTTGTTGTTGTTGTTTTGTTGCCGAAAACCCACGCGGGGAGGGACCTTCATTTACATCGAGGTCCAGTTGAAGTTGTGAACTTGTCAAAAATAATAGCAACAACAGTCTAAGGCTTCATGATACCAAGTGTCCCACACCAGCCTCCTCACATCACCTAGCAGAAGCACTGTGTTCTATGCCAAACATCAATAGTCATGCATGATATGAATAGCATCCTCTAAATTTCGGACAATGGAGTACCTAGGATAGAACCTTGTGGTACACCATTTGTTATAGAAAAAAAAAATTGAGGAATTATTATTATAAACTACATATTGAGATCTATTAAAAAGATAACTTTCAAACCAAGATGACAGACAAATTTGAGTGTTGTTGTAGTTTCCGAGTGGTGAGTCACCACACTGATTACTAAGCTAGGAGACATTGCCAGGCATAGCGCCATAAATCAAAACTAAAAACTAAAAAAAAAAAAAAAAAAAAAAAAAAAAAAAATTCTGTACCTGTGTATAAGACGCACCCCCGACTTTCAAATTTTTTCGGCGGCAAAAAAGTGCGCCTTATACACGGAGATTTACGGTACCACCTAAGGAAAGCAAGAAAGGTGGTCTTTGAAAGCAGGTGGTTTTCTTGTACAGGTTCTTTTAATACATGTGTCAATGAGAAACACCAGTCAAGGGACACACACAATAAGGTCTTTATAGACAGGTGGTTGCCAAAGCGGGTTGACTGGACTGCTCTTTCTGATAGAAAACCCTATCAAGACTAATAAGCTCCTAATTGTTAAACAGTCAAACCTGTCTATGGCGACCACCCAAGGGAAACACAAACATTGTTCTTTGTAGACAGGTGGTCTTTGTAGACAGGTTCCTTTAGTACATGATTCAATTAGAATCCATTTTCAAGGAGACAACAAATGTGGCCTTTGTAGACAGGTGGTCACTAAAGCAGGTTTGACTGTTTCAGGTTTTTTTCATTTGTATAAAAACAACAGAGTATTACAACAACAAAAATTCAAAGAAAAAGAATGAATCCTCACACGAATCAAAATCGTCTGTACTTGTAGGTAACGATGGCAGGGGTCGATGGAGTGGTGCGTTAGGACTGGTAGGACTCGCTGTGTCATCATAGAGGGGCATCTCGATATCCTCGTAGACCAGGGGGTCATTTGATCCGCTTGTCGACCCCCCGCTGCTTGACCCCGAGTGCCTTGACTCGTCCTCGAAGAGCGTGTCTCGATGGCTGTTCTTGTATTTCAGATCCTGAAGGATTTTTAATGACCTTGATAGAAAACACAGAGAGTAAGTTCATGTGATGATAATGTAGATGTTCAGTGGTGTACTTCTTAGTGAAATGTTAAATGTTCTGACTCCTATATGTATATAAATGTATAACTCATGCTTGTCAACAGAATTTTAAATGAAAATTCCAATAATAAAAATTTATTGTGTTACATGTAGTGTTTTAACCAATTGAAAATGTTCTTGCTGTTTCTACAAAAGACAAATAAAAAGTGTCTTAATAGATTTTCTTGTAATTTAAACCTTGAAGATTTTGATGACTTTTATGAAACAAAGATGGTTAAAAGCTCATCATACGAATAGCTTTGGTAAGACTCTAAACATTCTAGTATACATTGTATACAAAACTGACACTTGCAAAATAAGTACCGGTAATCTCTCTACATCTTTTTTCTTTTCTTTTCTTTTCTCGGTCACGCATGATTCTTAACCCTTGAGGGGCCATACTTGGGAAATATTTCTTAAGATTATTTTTTCAATTTGTTCCATTTCACAGTCTGGGAGATACTTACTTTTCTCTTGCTTTTCCATGAATTGCTTGTTCCATAGCTACTTTGAAATATGCCATCCATAGCTGTATTAAAGGAAACAAAATAGAAATTAATAATCAAACTAATATTGCATGACAAAATATTGAATGGAATTTAAATGAATTGAATTGAATTGAACTGAATTTTCATATAACTTCACCAAATCCTACTCAAGAGGCTATTAAAATCATTTTCTGTCTCGCCAGCAGAACAGTTAACACTTTCTTTCTTACAGATACAGATAGAAACTGAAAGTTATTAAGTGATTTAATCAGCAATTACATCTGGTAATTATACTTAACAAACCATTGTTACATTCAGACTTTGCTGGTGAAATTTACAAAGGGTCATAACCTCCTCCCCCCCCCCCCCCCCGAATATAGAAAGATAGAAACTGAAAGTTATTAAGTGGTTCAATCAGCAATTATATCTGGTAATTACCCTAACCCAACAATTTTCACATTCAGACTTTGCTAGAGACAGTTGTCAATGCTCATAACAAAATATTAAGCCCAGCCAGAGGTATTATTTTAAAGTAAGTAAGTCCTGTCTAGCGTGAATATGTCTGACAGTCAAGGAAAGCAGAACAATGGGGTATAGAAAGAGAAACTGTTGCCAATGGCTGATTTCCGATTAAAAGCTACTACTACAGAGTAGTACTACAGCCACTACTACTAAGTCGATTGTTCAAAATCAATGCACTTGAAATGAGTGGAGTTTAGAAATGTTAAATACTGCTTGAATAAAATTTTGGGTATATCAATTTGACCTCTTTGTCACTTCAACAAGTTCAGAGTATGAAGACTTTGTGCATGCACTCAGACATCACAAAGACATGCACTTGAACTTGCCTGACAAAGTGACATTTGGACAGATAGGATAAGGTGAGTCGCTAATTATGAACGGCAGGCTATGACATTATATGGATGAGATCACTGTCAAAGAGGGGGTGCAAGGTTCATCTTGATTGACTTCAACTCGTCTACCTTGCTTCTTCAAGTGTCCCTCTTTTATTTTACAAATAAATAATTTTCTTCTTATCTCCTTCCTATGCATTCTCCCTTCCCTCCCTTCTCTGCTTGCTTCCTCTATTTATCTCTCCTTCTCTCCTCCCTCCTTCTTTCTCTCCTTCCCCTTTAGATTAATACTCCCTGCAGAAACATACAAGCAGGGATTCAGGAATGATGCCCGGGGCCCTCTTGCATAAAGAGTTGAATCTAAACGCAACTCTAAAAATCAAACGGAGGTCCGCCATTGCATAAAGAGTTGCGTTTGATTTTAAACACATCTTTCAAGCAGATAAAAGGATCAAACGCAACTTTATGACAGATATATGACCAAACACAAAGTTGTGTTTGATTGCAAGTTGCGTATGATATTTGCGTTTGATCTGAGTTGCGATCAATTGCAGCTTGACTTTTACGCAATTAAGTTTCCAATTATTACAAAGTGGGATGCATATTTTCTTTCTTGCTTTCTAAGTAAAAGGTTTCTAAAACAACAACTGGTACTATTGCCAAAAATATGTGAAAATACATTGAAATATGTTAAATGATATGATAGTAAATTCATTCTAACAATTTGGTATCCATTTCCTTTCTTGTCAGAGAAAGAGTGGATATGAGTACAAGACCATAGATAATATTAATGCACTGCAATTAAGCACCTACGTTAAAATCCTTAGCACGACATCCTTCTAAAAGGAACCTGCAGAGTATTGTCATAAAAGTATATGGTAAGTCTAAGTATAAGTATAATTACAAGTTGAAGTATTAGTATTTAAATATAAATATAAGTATAAGTACAAGTACAAATACAAGAATAAGTATAGAAGTACATGTAGAAGTAGAATTAATCAAGACTACAATTATCACCACTAATTTGATTCTAAATTTATGTTCTAAGAGTAGTATTATGTTGACTTTTATAAGAAAAAGCAAATTAAACAATGACACTTTCCATATATATCAGGATTAATGCTAATATCCATAAGTGATTCTAAATATATTTTACATGAGTGGTTATCTAATGCTCATAATTCTTTTTCAAGGAAAAGTGGTTATTATTACAATGGACATACTCAAATGCCGAAAATACATCAAAATTTCAATTGAAATTCATGCCCTTACTCCCAACTTGGACTCTCGCCATTATAAACAGAGCCTCTTGCCAACGTCCTCAACCAACTACAACAATTTGGGATTGTCTGTCGTTTCCTTGATTTCCACAGTAATACCCTCCAAATTGAATACACATTTCTTAAAGATACATGATATCATAGGCAAATATGCCTAGTGAAAACAAGAAGACTTGAATATATTTGATGCACATGATTCGAAGGAAACAAAGACGGAAACAAGACGTACGTGTATTGTTTATCGAGGAGCCTCTTATTAAAAGATGGAAAAATAATGAAATTCTATTGTTATTTCAGCTGCTAAATCAATATAACATGATTGAAGTTACAGTAATATAATCACATGGTGTTATCATTTAAAAAATATCTAGCTATTTCTGTTTGCTATCTATTGTGGAGTGTTTTGTTTAAACTTTGACCGATACGTAATCTATATATGTATGTCTTACGAAGTAGAGGGAATTCCAGAAAATGGTAGCAAAATTTACCATTTTGAGTTTATTCATCTTTTTTTTTTTTTTTGGGGGGGGGGTATATAATATTTCATGTGTCATACTGAAGCCGATCAAGGGATAAAATTCTCAATATTTGGAACAGTAACTGTCATCTTTACCAACTATCAAAATACCATGCATTAATAAACGAACTACTACATTATTGCAAAGAATATACTTTTCATATATTCTTGCTTTTGTTCTAAAACAATATTACAGAATTTCTTATATTCAGCAAAGGCAGAGACTTGTGATGTAGTAACTATGACTGCATCCCCCTTCCCTTCCCTTTCCCCCTTCCTATCAAATGACATGTAAAACTTAGTGCGTTCATTCATTGACTAAGGTTTTGTTCACATATGATATGATAAACAGCCTAGGCAAAATAAAGGCCCGTTCAGAAAAGACGAGCTAAAACACTGTAAAAAACAACAATGCTGCATTATTTTATGAAATGAATAGCAACTGTGCACAACAAAGGTCCTACATGTACTGAGCTCTGTGTTACAAGATACAGAAATGTGAATCATATTACACTTTAAGTCATCATTAATAAAATTTAAAAAAACACCTTGGGGGTGTTTCACAAAGATCCTAAGTTGAACTTATCTCTAAGTTGGACTTAACAACTATAGAACGCCATTAGCACCTTTGAAAATATTTTGTAAAATTTATTTTAAAAAGGCATAAAATGTTGATTCAAATCATTCATATTTTCTATTATGAAGGAGAGTTCATGTTCTTGATGTGGAATTTATGAAAAGTCTAAAATACTTAAATTTTTGCTTTTGAATATATTTTATTTTAAGGCTACAAATGGCTCTCCATAATATTGAAGTCCAACTTAGAGTTAAGTTCGTCTTAGGATCTTTGTGAAACATCCCCCTGATGTGGTAAACCTTAAACCTAGTCATATGTGAACGAGCCGTAATACAGGACCCCTACTAGTCAGTCATCGGGTCGGTAATAGAATCCTTTCCTCTCCTGTTCAAACCGGGTGACAAGCTTCCGCTTTCCCTGGGAAACCCACGCTACGGATCGGAGCTCCGACTCATCTCTTACTCGTACGTGTGACGTGTGACATGACCGAACAACTGCTTTATAGTCTCCCTGTCAGTCGTATTAGAGGTACTTCAATCCCATGACGCGGTATTGAAGTTTTGACGTTAGAATATGATCTACGTCTAATGTATTCCTTATCATAAATGACTTGAGCGATGTTGCAGGGTATGGCACTTACTGGGATCCAATGCACATGGGCCCTGGGGAGTATTTCACAAAGATTAAGATCAACTTTAAGTTGGACTTAACTATGGCAGGCCGTCCATGCCACTGTTTGCTCTCACCATTTACTGGCATTGGTCTCTCAAGAGACGTACAAATCTTGGTCACAACTCTACAGAATTTAAATTTGTTGATAATTCATTATTGAAGGAAAAAATATTATCTAAAGATCATTATGATGAGAGCAAACAGTGGCATGAATGGCCTGCCATAGTTGAATCCAACTTAAAGTCGATCTTAGTCTTTGTGAAACACCCCCTTGGTTTGATATCATCTCTTAACCATAACAATTATCTGGACCCTTGTGAAAAAGGTAGTTTGGAACTCTGGATAATGTTACTCATTTGCGTTGGCATTATCTTACTTTATCCCTTTAAAGAGTATAAACTCAGTTGTTCATATATCAATTATGAGTTATTGAACTCAATGACTACATATTTTTAGACTAAATAGAAAAAAGTGGAAAGTGCCCCAATCAGTAAAACAAAGTGCCATCTATAAATCATTATAATCATTCTCACCATCATCATCATCCCCATCACCATCATCACCATCATTAATTATCATCGTCATCATCTTCATTATCATTTTCATCATCATCATTACCATCATTAATTATCATCGTCATCATCTTCATTATCATTTTCATCATCATCGTTACCGTAATCATCATTCTCATCATAACCCCCATACTCATCATCATCATTATCACTATCATCATCATAATTTTCACTATCATCATCATCACCACCATTGTCATCAGCAAATCATCATTACCATCACCATCATCACCATTATCAGTATCATCATCATCACTATCATCATCATCACTATCACCACCATCATTATTACCACCATCATCATTACCACCATCATCATCATCTTAACTTTATTACATCACTCTCAATTTGACATCATTCCTTTTATTAATAGCATCATAACTTCTTGAATAACTTATATGAGTCTACCGATACTTCGCACTACACTGTGCCCTTGGGCGACAAAGAACTACAATTGATAAAGCCTTAGAAGAAGGCCAGTGCTAAGAGGTACCACATTGCTCCATGCACACTTGTTTTACAAGTCACATGTTCCCCATGTGACTCAATTGAATTCTAAATGAGGCAGTCCGATTCACTGCTACATGTATAACTAGTAAAAACATGACAATGTAAGTTGTTCATCAATCTCGTATGAAGTACTTGAGCTATAAACATTTTTCAATATTTCATCATTTGTATTGTGAATGAGAATCCTTTTGTCTTGCGGGAAACCAAATTCTAAAATTTCTTCCTAAAAGTTTTTACGTCTTGTTTGTTTCTGAAATGATTATTTAATTTTAGCTGTTATTTCAATATAGGTATAAGGGAAAGACAATCTACATCCTGAAATGGAATGAAATATATCACCAAGCAAGTATTACAAAAATGTGTTCATTTTGGGGACTAAAATATGCCTTCTTTTTTGCATTTGCTTCAGATTTGGATTATGATCTTGAAATATTTTGAAACGAACCTACCTTAACTAATGCATTGTCTACATGATACATATGTTTGGACATTTTCATTTTCTTTTAATGCTAAATATATTACTCATTGAGGATGTAGTATTGAAAATAATAACGCTAGTGATTGCGAGACAAACGAATATCACTAGCGATATTATTTTCAATGCTTTCTTTTGTTTGAGGACAATTACAAGGAATAATCCAAAGCAAGGGGGTCCTACTTTACATTTCCAACAGGTGATTATCAATAATTAGGGGTCAATTTTCAAGTTCAGAAGGCCATTTGCTTATCAACAATCATTTTATGTTGATTCTTGCCGAACCATCTTAAGAATTTCACTGTATACTCACAAATACTAAATATATCACTAGCGATTTTAGTAAAATAAATTTGTAGGGATTGGGTTGGAAAGTTTTCCACCTTATCACCTTTGTGGGTCAAAAACATCCGTTGTTTAGCTCTGCTGCCGATTTTTTTTTCTACATTACTATGGCGATGTATTTTCTGTCATGCATTATAATCTGATTAGAAATTATGCCATCTCTCCTTCTCTATCTCTTCTCTTCCCCTTTGGACCCTTACCAACTCTTCCTATATTTCCTTCTTTTATCAGTCCTTCGAGCTTGAGCTCTCTTTTCCTTTCTCTTTCAGCTCGTATTTTGATTGTGATGCTGCTCGTCCTATTCTACTTTCATATTCACATTTATATTCATACCTGAATTTATTCATGATGTGATTCAGAATGGTATTTAAAATTCTTGCTATGTATAAGTCACTGTCTTGTCATGACTATTGTTTTATTCTGAAAGCCGGAGGACCGTACCTGCTCATAGACTTTTTCTTTATAGTCTTGACGCCCTTCTGGCTTTCAGCACACGACACCATGTTTTTGTCTTGTGTTTTATATATTACATGTTACACCAATGGAAAACAAATTTCTGTATTATATTATGGACAAATAAAATCTTGAATCTTGATATCCTTTTAAAACAAATATTGGATAAAGATTGGATTGAATTGGAAATAGGAAGAGCATGTCAAAATCATCTTTTTATCACTCCGTCCTTTTGGGTCATCTCTTGGTGTGCCTTACCCCTTGAACAAATTAGCGGATGTGACCCACTAACGGGACACACAGGTAGCAGTTCAAACTTTACTCCCTCCTTTTCATTTTCATCAAAACTTGGTCAACAAAAATTGAGTCATGCAGCCTCCAGCGTAGAAATTAATATTTCCTTGTAGCCCTGACCAGTCAATTTCAGGAAAAGAAAAAAAATGCAAGGAAAATTTTAAGATGCTTATAATTCAGGCCAGGACTTCATACTTGACTTTATGACGCCACCAGGCTGTCAACCACAAGGAAAAGGGTTAAAATCTTTGCCACAGCGCTAGGACATTAATCTACATTTGACACACGCAACCCAGGTGATACAGATAGATATCTAGTATGATTATTCCTTGAAACGCACAGTGCGCTGGTAACAGTTGCAAGAGCTAAGGCAACATGATCACATTCTAAACTCTTTGGAAGTGCAAAGTTGTAACATCATATCATGAATTAATGTGCACTTTACAAGGAAGGAATAATATTATCTTTCAAGAATTGATAAAATATGCAGTACAAACCTTCATTTCTTTTTCTGATGCTGCATTGAAGTACCACGTTCTGGAATCTGACCTCAACCCAATGATCTTAAATGACCATTTTCTCTCGTCTGACACCGCCTCATCTCGCATGACCCTGGATTCAAATACATAAATAAAATAGAAAATATAGTTGTCAGGTATACCTGTATGGGTGTAAAGTGGAACAGTGATTTTTTTTGTCTTTTTTTTTTTTTTAAATCATCTTTTCAGAGTTATTCTGTAATTTTCTTTATATTTTCCCTTATAAAAATGATGATAAATAACAAAATTATGTAACTTTAATAAATCTGGGAAATAGGTTGATAGGCCTGTTGGCCTTTGTTATTCCTGTGCATTATGAGTAGTAAATCTCTGTTATATACATGTATACACATGTTGATTGTATTTCTTTGTTTTTTAACCAAATCTGGAAATAAACTCGAAATTTGAAAATGGCTTTGAATTGGTGATTGGTTATAATGACAGAAAAGACATATTTGTTGCAATAAAGATGTGTTTTTCATTAGTTCATCTTCATTATAAAAGCATAAACCAAGTATTTTACATATAATGTATCATGGAAAAAGAGTGTGTAGTGTCACTGATTACAAAAACAATGCTATTTTAGACGATAGCATAGAATTAAGGGGAGAGTTCTAAATGTAACACAACTTACATCATGACAAAGTTATGAACTGGAGTTTCCCCCATATTAAAGTGATCTAGTACCTCAGAACTAAATTTTCAATTTTTTAGAAGCTTTTGCATCTTATGATGTGACAAAAATATTTTGTCTTCCTTCTTAATTTGGACAAATCCTAATCATGACCAGAGTCCTTACATACAAACCCTATACATATGTGCGTGTGTGTGTGTGTGATAATTTTTTGTTGATTTTTGAACAATTTAACATTGGCAAATCAAATCAAATCAATTAAATCAAGTAACCTCCCTTACCTTACTTATTATAAACCCAGTGTATTTCCACTTCTTCTGTATTTTGTTCTGTAAAGTGCATAGAAACATGCAATTGTGCCTGTGTGTTTAGATACAAAAATTACAGTTAAATAATCATCATCATTATTATTACCTGTTGTAGCCTGTCAGGGAGAAGACTCCCTGTGGCTTCTTGGCCTTGTCGTCCCTGAAGTACAATACATAGTGCTGATAGATGATGACGTAGCGTAGCTGCCACCTCCTTGACCGGTCCTGGAACCCCAGAACCCTGCCCACATGCTCCCCGACCTCTCCTAGGACATCCACCTTACGATCCTGAGCCTTCTTGTAGAGGAAGCCAGAGTGCATGACATCTCGGAGGAGGATGTCATGAGCACCTGAACGGAAGGAGAGAATAGTCATTAAAACAATGTGATCCTGGACCGGTCCTGGAACCCTAGAACCCTGCCCACGTGCTCCCCGAGGAGGATATCATGAGCACCTGAACGGAAGGAGAGAACAACCCTTAAAACAATACATTCTTGTTGATCCATTATTTCAAGTAGTTCAATACAACTGCTCTGTGCCAAGCTAGTCAAGGTGAAGGAATCGTGTTCTTGGTTCCTGGTTCAGAGGAACTCATAGACCAAGACATCTTGGAGAAGGATGTCAAAGGAACCTTAAAGGGGGTGTAGCATGGCAAATACTGGTTAACGCCATCTACGACTTCTTATGGACAACTGCACGTTAGCGAATGGACTTGATAAAAGTTCTCATCACGCTTCGGTTTCGCGTACTGCGGTCCCGTTGTCCGTAGTCATATTATACCCGATTGGCCCCTATTCAGGCCACAGGAAAGACATGTAGTCTCGTCATGCTACACCCCTTTAAGTGAGAGAAATTGACCATTAATACCAACAGAATATTTCAGTTTGTACAGGACATCTGTTCTGTGCTTATAATAAAGAATTATAGTCTTAGCTAGGGAATGTTATTTTGAAATTGGTTTGTGTCATGTCCCAAAGCCATCATGGAGGAACTCAAAAGACATGTCTTGAAGGAGGAGGATGTGCCATCTACGAGGAACATTAACTTATCAATGATTCAGATATACATAACATACACAACCAGCGCATCGTTTCATGGTGCCAGCAGCTCAATGAAAGGTGTCATGTACATGTACCTCTGGGTAGGAACTGCATGTTTCGACACACTTTGAAAGCAATGCAAATTATATATATTCCAGCAGTGAGCAAATATAATTTGACAGGTTTCATATCATCTTAAAGCCCATGAACAGTTTTGATAAAACCCTAAAAACTTTTTGCCAGCTTTCTTTTCACTGTATTTGATAAAAAGCAAAATACCGACAAACCTACATGTATAAAGCAACCATGAAGTTCCGTCTCCTCCTCATGAGTAATATCAAACAAATAAGATTTGCAAAATAATAAACATGCCTGGACCAGATATATAAATTCCTTCATGCAACGGCTACATGTAAAACATACTGTAGCTGTGGCCAGTGGATCTAAGAAACTTTGTAAAAAATATCTGTGAGGTTCCAATGTGGGACGATCGAGGCCTGCTCCCGGGCCAACAGCAGATGTTTTGTAGCCTAATAATGACATTCCTTTAAACATAATTTTATCAAATCACTTAAAGAATAATCTTCCACCAGAAATCTTAGATGGAACATCCAACATATACCTTATGATACAAGAGTTACAATATTTGGATATATGACAAGTTCCATTCCAATTCCAGTTTTGCTACCAGAACTAGATATCATCTGTTAGGATACAGAAGGATATAAACTTGTATACTTAAAGTCTTCAACATCGACTTCATCCCTGCTGGTTCTCAAAAGAAGATTCTTACTTTTAAATGGTGTCAGCAGTGGGATATATTAGTACAGTAATCAAGTATTTTGATCTACTTTATCATCTTCCCACCTTTCAGTTGGTAATTACTTGCAGTTAACAACTGAATTATTTATAACTGTTGTAAATTTGATACTTTTTGTGTGTGTTTTCTATGTTAAGTTCAAGAATGAAAGGTGGACTGGTTGAATTTAATGGGGCCTTTGTTAGATAACTGTTAGATGTCAGCTTTCATATTTCACATTCTCAAAAAACTAATTTAGTTGTTAGCTGTATGTACTAATATACTACTTTAATGTTAAACAATTAATGTTCCTCCAGGGAAAATAAATCTTTTGCAAAAGAAGTGATTAACATTTTCCTCCCATGGAAATGGCACATTTCATCAAATATGAATCATGAATCTCGATGTCTATTCACATTCTTCTCAGGGAACAAGAGAAGTGAATAAACAGAGATTCTCGTTAACAACTAAAATCATTCATAACCTTACAAAGTTTTGTCATTTTTAAGCACTTTTAAAGAATTGATTCATTCAAGTTTATGTTTTTTAAGAATGTGACATATTAAAGCTTATAATAATATTAATATTATTCTGTGTTTATATAGCGCTCAATACATCGATCCAACGATGTGCCTAAGCCCTTTACAGATATATTATTACCCCGGTCATTGGATTCAGGCGTACCCGCACACAATGTACGCACATTTTCCACTCCCTGGGGAGCATTCCAGCCAGTCGCCATACATCTAAAAGTATTCAATAAATGCCCTATAATTCAACCGGTCCACCTTTCATTCTTGAGTTATGGAATAAATAACATTTAATGTACAAGGGGTGTGAATAATTCAGTTGTTCACTGTATGCAACAGCGATACTGTAGTGGATTCAACTTACATCCGTCAAATGTAAAGGATACTATGTCGCTCGGCATCGTTGAAAATCCTCTTTGGCAATACAAGTCTTTTAATAGAACTTATTATCACAGTCTCCAATCCTGAATAAAGTCCTATTATCATTAGATATAAGTTACAGGATATCCATTGGCATACTCACAAAGTAGCCATAGTTTTGTCAACAACTGCCATTCCGTTATTAAAGATATTTGGTATGTTCCCTCATGATTAGACGATAAAGATGCCAGACACTTTCAAAAGCCTTGAGGTTGTACTCCGCTTCAAATGTTCTTCACTTTAGGTCCTGTGATAGACGGCTCATTAGTGTCCGGACCTAACAACTCTTATCACTTCAATACACAACGGACAGACATCTCAGCGACCAATGACTTTTCACCTAGTAATTTCTGTAATGAATTAGTCTCTAAACTGTCTTTATTTATCCTTGTCTTCAATGGACACTGTCCTAAAACATTCCTCAGATAGCTGAGACAATTAAAAAGTGGTTGATTAATTAGGCACTTCCGTCAGCTTTAGATAAACATATTTATGCACGTATCCTGTGAACGATCCTTCTGTAGTAAATTATAGAAACCTTTGAGTCTAGTGGCATTAATCAGGGATTCCACTGGAGTACTGAAACATCCACATATGGTCTAACCTGCACATGCAGCATAACTTATAGAGCTGACAAGATACATTAAAGAAACCTGTCTGAATTAGACTTTTATGGTACTCTCCACAACTGGTATATTCACAAATAATGTCGAAACAGCATCTGAAAAGATCAACATCCATTCAATCTAAATCAAGTTTTTCTGTCCGGGCACTGGTGCTACTTCTAGCATTGTCAGGAAATGCACACAATAAATGCAGATTTTCTGAGTGCGATCTCCACATAATATCCAAATATTGAGCTTTCATTGTATTCCGTTATGACATCATGCAAAGGCACTTGCTCATCAACAATCAACGTGCTTCTGAAAATAGGAGTTGATTATTCGCCACAACAAAGGAGAAATGGGTAGGGTCCTTTTTTAAACAATACTTTACTCAGGACTGGGAGTCCCCTAAAGAAGTCCCATTGTTCAGTACCTTTTGATCCTGTAAGACAAGTTTGTCAGTTCAAGGTCGTGCAACATCACACGTAAGGTCATTTCTTTACAAATTAGGCAGAAGAAGAATGAAGTCAAGTTTGCTGAAGGTACAAAAGTAATGGCAACGTTCCAAGCGCTAAAATCTTCTAAAAAGCCGGCAGGCCCATAAAAGGGGACTCGGCTATCTGTTGTAGAGCTGAAGATTGCTCTTCGTACTTTTCATTACAAAGGGTTAAAAATAATCTCCATTCCATACACTAACTGTATCCTAACTAACTTTGCATATAATGTCAACCATAAAAGCTTCACAAATCAGCTATAACTGAAGAAGAAGAGACAACCTTTGCCAGATCGCACAGAAAATGACTGTGTACATGAAATTTGCTTCATGGACTATTGTTCCAGAATCTGAATGTCGCAGTACAAATTCTCTTCACACGATGCGACGGCGAAAGATTATCTGTTCCTCAAAAAATGTCCAATTCTGAAGGTAACTCTCTGTAGTCTTCTATTTTGAAATGTAAAATCTTGAAAGTGATCGTACTCCAAAGAAAATAGAAGGACCATGCCCTGTGTGCCACAATGAAGTCCTAAACAGCGTTTGAACGCCAGAACAAACTACAAGCCCCTAAAGCGTACTCCCAGAGGCTCCAAGAATTAGTGATTGCTTCCTCAAAACACAAGCAAGATCCAAGCTATCAGCTGTGCGTCTCTCCCAAAACTCTAATTGTTCAATTTCCTCGACCCAGCTATCTCCATGGGACCTGAGTCTCCACGAGGACAATGTGGGACTATGGGGAGCAGGTGCCCTGCCTTGCGGGTGTTGTCAGCACGGTGGCTTGGAAAGAGATGACTCCTTTTGGTAATTCGACTTAAAGACCTTTTTCTCACTTCTCCTGCTTCGAAGAAGGCGATAATAAGGAAGTGTTACTGATTAGCGAATAGTTGCAGCAATTTCCCCAACCAATCAGCGTGCATGCACAGGATGGGGTGAAAAGACACAGAGAGAGAGAGAGAGAGAGAGAGAGAGAGAGGGGGAGAGAGAGAAAGTGTGTGTGTGAGAGAGAAAAGATACCAAGAGAAAGAAAGAAAGATAGAGAGAGGGAGGGAGAGTCAGACACATTGTATTCTAAACTTCAACCTCACAAAAGAGTTTCACTCAGCAATTGAAACTGTCATACCATATAACTTTTTGACAGAACATCATTGTACTGCTGCAGTTAACTTTTCAACAATTACCATAATGGCTGTATGTGCACTTCAAGTGTGTATTCCTAAAGATTTCATAAATGTTGCTTTGCTGTGTTTACATTTGTTTCTCACGCTCGTATCAGTATCATCTTCAACTAGAAATTGTCTAACACGCAATAAAAATAAATTGTTGAAGTTTTAAAGAATGATCAATTGTGTGTGTATACATTGTAAATAATATCTGTAAGATAAACTCCAAACCTAAAATGAGTAAAGCTTTAATACATGAAATGTCTATTATACATTAGACTGGGGAGGCAGTGGGTTACAGGGGTCTGACACCCCCCCCCCCCCCTTTCTATTGCTTGTCATACATTTGCGTGTATTGGACAAAACAATTTTTTCTTCCAATACCTTCTTTTTTTCTTTTCTTTTTTTTTTTTTTGGGGGGGGGGGGTCTCATTTCTTTGAGTGCTGAGTCAGCACCATTAAAGTTCTGATGTCTTTGACATATTTTTGTTTTTGATTCTAATGAGAGGTTGTTTTTTTTTGGGGGGGGAGGGGAGATGAAACCCCCCTTTTTCATTATACAAAATCATGGAGCTGCCCCTGGTACCTGTTTTAAAGATTGTGACAATGGACTTTCTCTTTTTATAATATACAGCGTATATATATATATATATATATATATATATATATATATATATATAAATATATATATATACATGTATATGAGGGCTAAAAAGTACTTGCATTGACTTCTTATCATTCTAATTGAAAGTTAGCTTTTACTTTTCACTAACTAACTTTCCATCATTTTTCTCTTACCAGAAAACTGTTAGGATATTTAACAATCGACCAATCCACTAACTTGTCATTTATTTAATCAATCCATCCACAATGACTCACAAACATCATCATACCCTACACACAAAATTGAGTCTTAGTGGGAATTCCCCTTCACATAAACTGGGGACAATGCCATGCTATCCAAATAGAATGGTGTTATCTATACTTCTTGTGAGAACAATGTGTAGTTTGTTAGCTCAAGTTAGAAGAATAATACAGGACTCAAAATGCAAGGAAGACAGGCAAATATGATCAAGAGCTGTGGATATAGTACAGGATAAAGGAAAGTATGGTGTAATGGAGAGTTATACAGAGTTGATAAACTCCAGAGTAAAAAATAGATAAATAAATGGTATATATGTAGAGGTGTAATTGTGGTCGAGTGGATACGTCGCCGGACTGTTGATCACAAGGTCCGCGGTTCGAGTCCCGCCGCCGCACTAATGTTCTTTGGCAAGACATTGATCTACATTTGCCACACTCCACCCAGGTGAAGTAAATGGGTACCTGGTAGGAATTTATTCCTTGAAATGCTAGAGCGCCGTATGGCAGCCGTGCTGAAGCCAGGGTAATAATCGGGAGCGCCAGGAGGGTCAAATCTGACTGACATGAGCGCTATACAAGAACCCACTATTATTATTATAATTATTATTGTCGAACTGCCTGAGAGCACCTTTGAAAATCTCACTGTGTGCTAACATGTTGCAGATACCAAACTCCCTCCATCACAATGATAGGTGAGCAATGCAAACAATCCAGCCCGGTTATAACATAGCCGCGCCCATCAGGCCTTTTGAGAAGCGCCATCACATTAACCTTCCAATCACCCCATTCAATCTGCACACGTACATTACACATCAAAATTGCTTGATCACTCTTTAACATGCAATTAATAAGCTTTATCAGGTTACAAACGAGAAATCAACCGATTAGGTCACAGACACAACAGGATATAGTTCAAGTCGATACACGCATGTTGAGATCAATGGATGCTATCCTGATTAAATTAGTTAAATGATGACAGGTTCCATCACAGCATTATAAACTTATTTGCCAACCATCCTGCTCACTTCAATGAACTAATCATTACCCAGAATGTTAGCAAAGATGTATCATGGCATCACTTTGAATTGAGCCTTTTAATTTTAGGCCTTTAATCCTTTGCTTCAGGTAGTTTTTTATCATTTTGCACATTAATCTTCCTTTTCCTTTGCTCTTTTCCTTCTGTTTTCCGGCTCTTGCTAGTCTCCTTCTTCCATCCTGTGTCATAAATTTCAATGATATTTCTAATGAAACAAAGCTCCATATATTTAGTTAAAAGAACTTTGAATAGTTCTTATAATGGTTAGAGTCGTTTATTCAGTTTTCACAACTGTGATGTAAGCAAAATATTTCAATATTCCTGCAAGTCTTCAAATTCATTATTGACTGTCAATAGGGTGGATTCACATTTAACAGTGCCCCCACCGGCAAGCCATGACAGGCCTATTTTTCGGCTGGCGGGTCGACATCTTTAAACCAGTGTAGCACAGCAATACATGTAAGCTAGCCACCAGTTGATATGACCCAAGTGGTCAGAACTGTGTAATATCATTTAAAGGTCGTCAATACTACTGGGCCAGAAGGGATTAGACCACACAGCAAGGTCACTGACAGGTGGCTCTCTCATTAACTCAGCTCTCAACTAACATAAGAAAAAGAGGATCATGGGGGACCAACATGCACCGATCGGCGAAGTTTTCTATATAGAGGGAGCAAGTAGCTACAAGTAGGACAGTGGGGCTTTAACGGGATGATTGTTCTGATATCAGCATACATTTTTATATTGATTTGGATGCCAAAACCCACTGTCAATTGATTCAAGCTGAAAATTAAGCATACTTTTGGACAAAAAAATCAATATAAATAGTAATTTGTTGTGCCCCAAAGTGACCGAAATGACCATAATGTTGTTAATGAGGGGGGGGGGGGGGCTATTTGACCACTTTTCTAGCATCAGGGCACATTTTTACATAGGATATGCCTATCAAATCTCCTTTGCTAATAATAACGATTGGAAAAATTACCTGAACAAAAGTGACCATATCATTATATCATTATTATTATTTTTATCATCAATTTCATTATTATTATAAGAAGTGACTTACTGGTATTTGTTTGGAATAAAAACATGAAAGTAATATATACTAATCATAGATTCAAAATCTCATGTTCACTCAAAGCTCACATACACACTATAAACTTAAACCTTAAAACCATTCAAAGCCATTTCAAATTATCATGGTTCTGCAATTCAATGTGAGATAAAAAGTGAAATCTGAAACAAAGTCAGTGACATACTTATTTTCTTGATATCCTCTATCAGGTTTGAGCTCTGTATTTTTGAAATGACATAGGGTGGATCGCACTTTGGTTCTTCTTCTTCCTCTTCTACCTCTTCTATGTCTTCTTCTTCTTCCTCTTGATCAACTTGATCAAGATTAAGATCTAAATAATATCCTTGCTCCATTTTTCCTTGAGCCAGGCACTAGGGTTCTCCTTGCAGACAGGAAGATGGGAATATTTTAATATCCATCACAAAATCACTTTTTTTCAAACTTATAGTTTCAATATTAGTCAGAACCAAACTTCCATGAACATATCCATGCTTCCGCTTGTATAAACATGTACCTCGCGAGCTTGTACAGTTGAGAGAAAATGTTTTCATTCAGATTGAAACTAACAAGGACCTTATACGAGTCTTTGATGAAGGCCAGAGGCTCTTCAGCATATACACTTGTGACAATTATGAAGGACTTTGGATAGTTCAGTATCAGTTCCTAATGGAGGCTATTTGGAGCATTGAATATCCAATAAAAGCGTGATAATGTACATGTATTAAAGTCAGGTGAATCAAAACTCATTGTTGTGAACAATGTCGGTATATTGATACCAATTGGCAATGCCGATGATGTCACAAGACACTTGAAGACAGCTAGTAGTTCTTCCCTGTATCACTTATCAGGAGTTCCTCAATGCAAATAGCCCTGTAAATGTAATCCATGCATGCATGGACCAAAGTTAAAGCCTTGATACATCCCTCTTAGATTGTAGCTCCAAAAAACAATTAACAGAACATGCTCCTTTTCACTACCTCATATCAGCCTTTTCCAAAATATCTGCCACAGCCCTAACTTCTATTGTCATTCATTACATAAAATACTCAGGTCTCCTTCTCAACAGACAATTCCACTGCATGTGGCCCCACAATAATTGTTCAAACCAGCAAACACGAGGTCATGATCTCCAATCAAAAGATTCCACGTCCTTAATTTTCATCCAGCCCAGGCTCTTTTAGTTGTAATGTAAAACTCCTACATGTAAAAGCAATTTCTCATAAATGCAGGATCGACTCCATGCAACGCTTTTTCCACTGTTCACAAACGATTTATCCTCATGATAAAAATCCTTCTTTTTTACACTCCAAATGGATCCTCGTTGTAGACGTACCTTGCAAAACTATTGTATAATTACACGGTTTTTCGCTTCTTATGCCTTTCAATTGACAAAAATATTTTTCTGTCTACACATGGTCTTTAAGCACTAGTTTTTGCACTCAAGTTGACTTAACCATGTAGATACTTTGTACCAAGTATTCCACCCGCATGCACACGTACAATGGAAGTGGCATGTCGACCGAGACTCGGCACAGGAAGTTAGTTCACATTTATTTTATCATTATCAAGGTCCAAGGGTGAGACCTGCCCTTGTGGGAAAACCCCAAGTACAAGTATTTCAACACTCAAACAATCACCTTCTTCCTCCTTTCTGT